ACCTTTCAGAGAAAGGCAGCGTCAGAGTTCAGAGCGGCCGACTGAGTCGAAAGCCGCATCCAGATCTAGGAAGACATAGATGGTGGGTCTACGAAAAGAATGCCGGTGCTCCAGAATTTGGCGTAGAGTGAAGATGTGGTCGATACAACCTCGGCCGGGTCTAAAACCAGTCTGGCTCCCACGCGTGCATTCTTGTTTAGAACTACTAAAATAACAGAAGTTCAATTAATATGACAAAAAGCGATATTCCAGATGAGAAGCATGGGAACCACATCCAACTCACCCCATCATAGATAAAGTACGACACACGTATACTTTATTGTAATGTAATTCAGCAAAATATGATACAAATCGAGGTGTATCAGCCAACAGATGAGTCGCCGAAAACAGGCTTGTTCGGTTGTATTTTTCATACAGTATACATGTATTTCAAGATTGCATCCTAGCTGGAGGAGTGTGCGCTGCAAAACAGCATAAGTGGCATCCAGACGTGGGTTCGGATTCCGCCGAAGCTAGTGATCTTTTTGTAATTCAAACGTAAAACTGTTGTCTTCCGGCCGAGGAACATAACGTAAACATAATATATACTTTTTGTTTCAGCAATTTATGCACATCAAGAAGTAGTATGATCATCACACGGTTTGTCATTCTCATCTGTCTAAGTGATCCAAATCACGTTTGAAAAGAATCTCTATGATTTCCCGGTTCATTGTCAGACTGTTTTACTGATGGAGACTGGCCGATGGCCTTAACTCAAGTGATGCAACTCTAGTTGTCTGTATACACAATAAATAAGCTACCCATTGTAAATTGACCTAGCTAAACACGGGTCGCATGAATACAATAAACAAGACGATTGTGGTCCACTTCACCGATACCAGGCACCAGATAGACAAAGATGCATTTGAAGTCATTTAAAAAGTACCTCATACACGTTAGGCAACGACAAAAACAGTGAAAACCGAAATCCTGAAACCACCTTTATGTAGAGAGAAGAAAAGGATTGTTGCACTCCAGGTGCTTCGATTACGCCCCAAACTACGTGATGAAACGAACCATAACCTCAAACACGTCGTGATAACCCAGCACGTGAAAGGTCCCACGTGAAAAATATGTTATTCGAAATTTCCGGAAGCGACATTGGTCTTCCTCCTTATTTCCATGTACTCCTATGGAAACTGACAGACATTAATGTTCGTTTCTATCATATGTGTAAACACATAACTGTAAATTTCCAAAGAGGAAGTTACGAAGGCAATCTTGCTTGTCATATTGTTTTTTATATTCTCATATGAATCTTCCATGAATTATCTTTTTCCATTGCGCAAAGTGAGACAAGTTCATTTGCTGGTTGCAAAACAAACAGGTACAACAGACAGAGAATAAAGAAAAACCATCGTACACAAGTTTCAGAGTGCTACATGGGTAGTTCATGATAAAATAGCCCATTTTATCCCAGTTCATTGAGCAAAATATTCATTTTGATAAAGCGTAGCAATTAGGGTCACACTTTGAGTTGACTGACCTTTGACACTGAATCAGTTGTTGTCAAATGAAGTAGTGGCAACTCGCTTTTGATAGACCGTAAAGCTGCAGCACACCCTTTATTATTATTCAGAGGTGGCATTCGTCCATCGAACTCATCCAGTTCCACAGCTAGAGATTCGTCGTGATTCGAATCGTCAATGAGTTGTGGTGGGCTGAATTGCGAAGCAGACAAGGCATGCAAATCTACACCGGAGTCGAGATCCGAGGAGCCTAACGGGCTGTGATAGGTGGATTTTGTTGATGACTGTGCAGCTGACGACGGGGCAGTATTCGGTAGATTGACAACGACCGATTTGCGGACACCTGCTTCACCGCTTTTGGGACTAGAAAGAACGAAGTCGGACAGCTGATAGCCACTGATCCCGCATTATCATATTTAGTCGTGCGTAGCTTACTAAGATAGTATAAATTACGTGAAGAGATAGATTCTATAAAACACTGTCATAAATATATTTTTTATAATTTGAAGCATATTTTGTGTTTAAGACAAGCTGAATAATGAAACTTTGTAGAACTGATAAAAAGCAACCTCCTAAGTTTGTCACTTCACAAGTCCAGTGAGGGGTTAAGGAGTGTTGTTTATAGGAAGATTACCATGGATCAGGGGTAAAAAAGATTCCATTGAAACAAATACATAGATCGATACCTAGTTTCCCGAAGGCTCTTGCTCCGTGGTCAAATAGTTCGGCAGTATCTTTACCTCTTCCGCAGTTACAACAAAAAAATCCTTTAAGTTACTCATAGACACCAATCCTCTAGTCGTCTCTATGTGCGACACCCAAGACACCACTCACAAACGTGAGTAGTACATCACAGTACTCGTACTATCGGGTGGCGAATCTGATTACCGAAGCTCCCAGGAAGAACTTGATTTCCAGTGTTTATGAGTTAATATGGATTTTAAAAAAAAGAAAGAACGGTGAGGAGCTTCGAAGGTCTCTCAGTAAGGAGCAACGTGTTAACACAGTATGCAGTAACTAGTTACCATACTAAAGTAGTCGTCTAGAGAGCAGAGCTCGAAATCCCCCAGTTAGGACCGATTGCATTCACGTAAGAAAATGCGCTCACATTGCTGCTGTTGTCTTTACGTAAAGCGGATGACGCCAAAGATGAAAACGATAAATAAAACCAATTAATTAAGCAGCTCTGGATAAACACTACTTCAAGGAAACATCACCATTACGTAAATCACTTATTGTGACTGACTTTCATCCTAACTTCATCTTGAGAAACAACCCTCAGTTCACACACTTAACCATAAATGAACATCAGGCAAACAGTAGACTACAATTTTTCTCACACGAGAGCTCACTAGTACTGCGTACCTATCGGCCAGCCCCGACAACTCGCACGGAAGGCGCTTGTGTTATCACTAGACAGATCAGATCACGTTGTAGCTGACTAGAACTACCGATATGAGTCTGTTCGAATATCGTCTCCAATGCCAGTCAGTCAGTTCCTATGCTGACAACTACACCGTAATTCTGTTAACTTGTGACGTGAACTGATTGGGAACACGGTTTCACATTGATCTTCAACGTGGGGAACCAGGATTTTAGTCTAACGAACAGTAGAGGCGCTAAACTCCCATAGAAGCAATAAAATACTGTTTATGTGCATTGATAAACGAAGACTTGGGTTGTCTGAAATGCACCACTGGTGATGTCTAATGAGGACGAAACTCAGATGCGATGTAAAATAAATGAACTGATGAATGTGTACCAAAATAAATATTGTGAGTTAAGAATAATAACAAGACCTAAAATCTTTCAGTGACTAATACACGGCGTATCAACTTCAGTTCAATTTATATGACCGCCAACTTTGAGCTGTTAAGTTTCGGTTAGTGTTGATAAATTTCAGTGAAGCGTTTGACAAACCACTGATATTATGAGCACAATTAAACGACACAATCGAAGTGGTACAAGAACGAGGAGGAAATCGGAATACACGAGATATACCACAGAGCGAATGGATTCATTAGAGTCACTGTTTACAGCGGTTAGTTACACAACTGTTCATAGCTAATGATTAGGTTGATCCACATGTCTCAAATCACGGAGTATAACGGTGGTGACGACCCCGTCCACTAGTTAGCTCCGTTTCTTTCACGTAAGCTAATGCTCGGATCAATCTTCGTTTTCCTCCAAACACCTATTTGGCACATCTTCATCTCTATAGCAACTTTCGCGCTTAGTTTTTTTCTAGGTCTGGCTGCATAAATGTGTAAACAATCTTATTGAATGCACATTAGTCTACGACTCCTATTCTATACAACGGCAATTCCAGTAGTAAACATAAATAGCAAAAAAATTAACCAATGAAATTACGTATGTTGAATCGGATGGTTCCCAGAAGGAACACCGTCGGGATTGGTAAAATTTGTTGGCTCCGTGGGAGTGTTCGCTCGCAGGAGGGATGTTAAAAAAAACAACCAAGTCAAGAAGGCCTGGCATGGGATGGTAATCAATGCCATAACAGCTTATATCGGCTCTCACGTTAACGAAGCTGGGTTATCATCTATCATGAATATGAGAATGATTAGCTCAAGGCTACACTGAGTTCCAACCACCAACATTATGAGAAGTTTGTAACAAAATTAATCGGAACTGGAATAAGGTATTTGCTGGGAGGTGACGGATCTTCGAGGGGGTGATATACGAGGAACCAATGTGTACGGAGCAGTAGAACGTCAGCGGTTGACTCACCCACGTTTTCGCGCCTCGGTCATGACTACTTTAGCTCGTTGGGAAACTGCTTTATCCTTCACAAAAAACGGAGCCATTGGATCTGGTAAAATTTGCAAACGCGATTGAGAAAGTGAAGGAGTGAGAAGTTTTGCTTGTGCAGGTGCCAAAAGCTTCGTTTGAGTTCCCACTAGCTCCAACTTAGATTCTGTACCGTGTGGAGATATAGGATTGAACTTCGCAATTGGGCCTGGTAGCTCATCACGTCTCTTCCGCATAGGATCAGATAGAACGTTACGTGATGGGGCAGATTCTCCTTCAGAAGTGACTAAAGGTTGGAAACGAAGTCAAATTGAAACAGTCTAAAGGTGTTTACATTGGAATGGAGTGTGGTCAGAGTAAATTGAAGAGGAGTAAATCTCTAAATTCATGATCTAAAGTCACAAAAGCTGAATGGAATCAAAGCATATCAACCTGGTTCAAGGTTAATAATTATTTTGTGTTTTCTTTAATTTGCAAAGAAGAAAAAAAATGAACATACGGCATTCGATCTTCAAGAGAGTTTATGAATGGAATATTGCACTGCCCATCTCCAAATATCGTGTTTCTGAGTACTTCAGTTTAAACAGTTCTCAGCCTACTCTCTGGTGGAAGATTGCCAGTCAGTTCTCACCCTAGTCTAAAACTATTTTAGCCATACTACAAAGGTTATTCTCGATGTACATTAAAAGTTCGATAAAGCCTAATCGAAAACCATCTAGGGTGTTTTCAGAATTAAGTTCCAGATTACGGGACACCTCACAGTAACATCATACAGATATATGTATTTATTTTCGCACAAGTCTGAATCCAGACTGTGCCAAACAATTCATGGTACAATAATCTTTATAACAAAAGAAGCGTTTGATGATTTGCATGTGGGCGGTATACTACCAGGTTGCCCAGACCAAGGCAGGTGACCCGCAAGACAGCGGGGAGCACAATATACAGAAGGGAATTAAAAGCCCCATGACATTATAGGTCACGTTATATAGGGGGTATAGTAATAAAACAATCGCTCAGAGCGTTAGTCACTTGCGTAGTTCTATCGAGAAGAGTTGTTCAATCAGTTGGCTAAAACGTATTCAGGGAAATGAAAACCTCATGCATGCTTTTCACATTCTTAAGGTAAGAAACGGCGAATGAGATTGATGATTTTTGTTCTTCTGGAGAGTGGTATCATCACTACCTTAATAAACTCGGGAATTTTTGGGACAGTTAATGGTAAACTTTACGAACGTAAAAGATTGTTAGCGAATGAAAAGCGAAACCAATTTTCGCTGCAATGAGGGTCAGTATTTGGTAGAAAAACACTTTTAAATTACATACTACCTCGGGCAAGCACGGCAAAATGAAGAAATAGAAAGTTATACAACGATTAGGACATGGGTAGTATTATTTGTATGTAAGTCAGAACCGCCGTAAAATTCAAACTTAAAAGCGTGGAACTCACCCCTTCTCAGAGAACTTTCTTTCCTCTGGTTAGGCAAATGTGCAGGACGTCTCAATTCTGATTGCCCGCATTGATCCTTACTCGTATGTGTTTGAAGTACAAGCTGGAATAAAAAAGACAAAAGCGGAAATTCATATGACAATTTCAGCTAAAGCGTATCTGATAATGGACACCCGAAGATCACTCAGTCAATCAGCTGATCAAGAGCGTTCTGTACACGAACATGTGATCAACAAAATGAGAACATTCAAGCAAATCACGACCACATCACAAAAGTGCATGCACGCAAGCGTTGGCCCATTCCCGTCGTGTCTGCTATCGGGTCATCGACCCTTCTCGTTATCTGTGGTTGGTCCGCCCATCGGCGGGAATACTCGACCCCAACTCGACTGCCCAGATCATATGTATATATATTCAAACCACACGCTTCGAATCGTGTCTTAGAACCGTCCGCATAATCGTATTATTGTTAGACATCTTTACATTTCTAGAGTCAATATTTAATGACTCAGCAGCGTCGAGCTCATTGCAATTTGATTGGTAAAGCCATGTGATAGCTCCAAGTTTTTTCTTCTGGTGTCTACCCATGTCGTAAATCGATCGCATAAATTAGTCTCGGTACCTCATGGCCTGCGCCTGATCGATGGATAAACAGCCCGGCGTTATCGGACCGTAACAGGTTTCGCAGTGAAGTGGACATGAGGAGCCAGGATACAAGACAAAATGTCGCTATGGTGATCCGGTCACGTGGTCGGAAAATTGCAAGTAAGCTCAGTAGCAATGACAGGGGTTCATCAGCTTGGTGGTGAGCTTGGATGCGGCGACTAACTTCAAGTGATTGTGGTTGGTGGGCCTGAATGTTCGAGGTGCATCAAAAGCCGGTGCGAGTTCACTACATGGTGCGCATACCGCGAGAGCAGTGGTCCCAACCACAGCAACAATACACGCAAGTATACACCAACACATTGCGCGTGACTGCGAGATTGGGCCATCAACCCGTCTGATTCTCTCGGGTAGGTGAGTCCATGAGGGTGTGTACGCAAATCCGCTGCGTCGAAGGTTCAAGGGCGCGACCAGAACGTGTGTTCGCGTAAGTAATTCGTTGCCTGAACAAACACGA